CGATATAACATGAATTCGGATATAACGCAGTAAAGCAGCGCTCCAGGGGGGCGGGGCTGCGCACTCCGGCGGATCAAAACATGTTTGATATAACGCGGTTTCACCTATAATGCGGTAAGTTTTTTTGGGTCCTGAAGACAGCGTTATAGAGGTGTATATTTATTTCTAAACAAATAGAGTCAAATTGGTACAAAAACTGTGTGTAGACAACTCCTTAGACAACTTCCTCACTGATATCTGGAAAGTCTGACTTTATCAAGCACTGATTGGAAAGAACCTTTCCTCCTTGCTCTCTTCCTCTTTACATTGGTTAAAATGCTTAGGCCATGGTCCTATGAGAAGCTGAATGCCTCCTGGGAGTTGATGCCCAATTTTAGGGCCCTTAAGATCGCACTGAATCAGTTCCTTATACAACAACAATAAATGAGGAAGTGATAGGGGTCATCAAATAAACAGGTGAAATATTTTTTTAAAAAGCAGCAGCTAAAAAATGTTCTGTAATTCGGCAATACACAGGGAGATCTAAACAGACAGACAGATGCACAAACCAACAGTTAAAAGTAAAACATCAATATTGTTATGCTAATAAAGAAAAACAAGGGACAGTTTTCTTCCATAACATTACCCACCTTCTTATGCTCCTTTCCCCAAAAAATGGTGGACGAGTAAATGTCAACTGTTTTGTTTTATACAGTATACTTTCACATACCCCAGATGAAACGATAAAGGTGTTGATCCTGAAGATCCTACTTATTCTTGTACAGAAAATGGAAAGCTTTTATTTTATTTATTTATCAGAGGCAATATTTTTCTCTCTTTTAACACTGATAATGAACAAATTCAGCCTTTTCTCTTATCTGCCTGGTCTTATCTTATTACAAACAATGATTTTTGAAAAACACTGTATAATACTGCAATCTAAGACATCGGTCAATTTTGATTGACACAAATATTTGTATTAAAGGTTACATACTGCAATTTACAATTGGGTACTATCACAATACTGTATGTTAATGTAATCAGTATTTTCATTTCATGAATTCATTTGCAGCATCACACTGCAAGGGTATTCTTACATATATTGGAAGCACAATTACTAAGCAGTTCAAGAGTTCTTTAAGTAGAATTTTCCTTTTTATTCAACAGATTTTAACACCATAAACCACTTCTAGGTTGTTGGGTTTTTGGGGGTTTCTGGGTTTTTTTCCTGGAGGGGGTGGTGCTTGTGATTTAATTTCCCAACTTTTAAAGTATTCAGACACTTGGAATATCAAACATACTGAATTAATCCACAAATATTTACATGAAAAACAATTTAATTTCTTTCTATAGTAACTATCACAGGGACTATTGTCATGAAAATTTCCCCATTTTAAGAAATTAATGCGATTACTGATAAAGGGAGGAAATTAAATTATATCATCACAAACACGTAAAGGGTATAATCCCATATCCACAAAAAGGAATCTTTATTCCCTCTTTGAATTCTGAAACAATACAGACATGCCTTAAGGAGAACAGAAATATTATGAAGTACCTTAAGCAAGATAATTGTAAGAAAAAGAACTACTATTGCATTATTGTTGTGCTAAACTGTGACATACTTAAAAAGCTAATTTCTTTTATTATAATGGAATTTGGTATATGTGTATCTTTAATCTACTTCACTTTTTTCTTCTCATTTATATACATGAGCAAGTGTGTAAGGTGGTTACCATTACCTGTATTAGATTTTATACACTACTATATTTCATTACATTTTAATTTAAAAAATAATTTAAAAATATACTTGTCTTTTACAAACTTTATTAGATCTTTGGCGGATCAAAGTAAGTTCGATATAACGCAGTTTCACCTATAACGCGGTAAGATTTTTTGGGTCCCGAGGACAGCATTATATTGGGGTAGAGGTGTACTACAAAAAAATCCTAGTGTTTGGAAATATGAGTATGTAATTGACAGTCTCATAAAGTATAAGTCCTAGAAGAAAAGAATCATCAATAGAAATCCCCACATTTTAATCACAAGAGATTTCAGCTTGAATCTCTCCTATACTGTTGCCCATTTGACCTTAATTCTAACTCAGCAAAGCACTGAAAGCATGTGCTAGCCTTAAGCACATGCTTTATTGAATTGGGACTTTACTGTTACTGCCCATCATTTTTGAGACAGCAAGAGTTTGATCCCTTGAAACAGCTTTTCCTCTTTTCCCATGGGGATGGACCTAGTCTTGATAAATGTTGTGTTCAAAACAAAAAAAAGGGGTATTGGAATCCAACAATGAAGCACCAATATAATGATAATGCCAATATTTATCACACTGTAAATTATGAAGCCACTTTTATAACATACAAAAATCCCATTGAAATCAATGAGACCTAGCCTATTAAAACAACGGCACTGCAATATGTAAAGTATATTTTACAAAATATTTTCTGAAGTAACACTTTTTCATGTTTATAAGTGTCACCAGTGGTTAGTTCACATTTTATACCAATAGCCTGCAATTAGTTTATGTATCTAAGATAACATTTTTTAAAAAGTAGAAAAGCTAAAACAGGGAAATGATTTACAATTCTATTTTTAGTTGCTTTATCTTACTAGAAAATGGTTGAAGGAATTTCATAAGTCTGTGTTTCCATGTATTTAATTTTCATGGGTGATTATATCAACTGAAAAGAATTCCTATTTTTGAGTCATGTATGTTAATAAGATTCTTATACAGACACTGTACTTAGTATTTGAAATGAAAGTTTTTAGTTAATATCAGTGTTTTGGAGCCTCCCACTGGCAACCATCATACGGACAAAAAGTGATATTTGAGACATTGTCAGAATGGAGTACTTATATCTAGAGATCCTTCACTATTTTGCTTCAAAAGAACTTAAAACTTCTGAGTTCATATCCTAATGCAATTTAAAAGATCAGAAAAAAAAATCCCACATCTACTAGTGCATGTGTTCTTGCAGAGTACTTGGTGTTATCAGACATCTACTATGCAAAGGTCAAGTGAGTTTCACTGAGTTTAGTGGTGACAAAAATATCCTGCAACACTGGTAAGATATAACAGAAAAGGAAACGGGATCTCAGATCTAGCAGAAGTCACATTAAGTAACATAGGTTATGGTGAAGAAGAAGGAAGTTTTCACTGATATGTGGAAACTGTTGCTATGTGATCCCCAGAGAAAGGATAAAGAAATAAAACAACTGGAATACAAATTACCTTTTTTTGTTAAAACTCTTCATAAAGAATTTTTTTAAAATAAGATAACAAGAAATGTATTTTCATACATGCATGCCTACTATTTATAAACAAATTAAATCACACAGAGAGGGGGAGCCTCTGTGGTTTTCCACTACAGGCAGGAACATGGATAACTAACCAGGGCAAATGAAAGTACACCTCTACCTCGATATAACGCTGTCCTCGGGAGCCAAAAAATCTTACCGCGTTATAGGTGAAACCGTGTTATACTAACAAATTTATTAGAGCATAAGCTTTCGTGGACTACAGCCCACTTCTTCGGATCCTCCTGTTCTTCTTTTTGCGGATACAGACTAACACGGCTGCTACTCTGAAACCGTGTTATACTGAACTTTCTTTGATCCACCGAGTGCGCTTTACCGCGTTATATCCGAATTCGAGTTATATCAGGTCGCGTTATATCGAGCGGTGTACTGAAAAGTACTGGTGTCTGAATGTCTTTTCATTACAAGGCAGATTACAAAACTTTCTGAAGTAAAACTGATATAAAATATAATTCAAATGCTAATCTGAAAAATATATTAGTAGCTCATAGCTAAAAAGTGCCAATTTTAAAATTGAAGTTTACTTTTTTCCTTCTTTGACATCTACACTGATATTTCAGGCTCATATTGTAACACGGCAAGTTAAACTAAAGATAAATTGTGGTGTGAAGAACACTTGCTGGTGGTCCAGAAAGTTGGCTGATCACATAGCTGACTGTCCCCCTTTCCAAACTCTTCTAAAGACACATAGGCTCTTTAAAGCAAAGAGTCTGGTGACAAGTAAAACTATCTGGAGACAATGAACTGCCAATCAGCCGCCTTTACTAGGGGCTGCTGCTACATAAAAGGAGGAAAGAAACAGGAGCATACAGTGGTACTTGATCTGCTTGCCCCCAATGGAAGTGTAGTGTTCCCAGGAGAATGGAGCAAAAGGAACTGAGCAGCATGTCCAGAGAAGGAAAAGAGAAGAAAACCATGTGCCAGGGAAGAACATGCAGAGGGACGCAAGCAGCACACGTGAGAGAGACAGATTAAATGAAGAGCAAAAGTAGCGTGTGATTCACTTTTTTCAAAAAGAATAAAGCATTTGCATATTAAAGTTAAAAGAAATAAATATTTTCTTATTATTACTATTTCATGTAAGCAATTGCGGTAATTTACAGAGAGGATATGTAAGGGTGAGCTGAAAAACAGGTGGTCAACATGATCACAAATGGAAAATGTGGTGTCCAAGAGACTGACTGTAGACACAGTCCTCACTATGAAAGTTTTGTGAACACGTGATTTTAACAGAATTGATGTGTTTGTTTTTATAGGTTTAACTTTATACCTGAACAACATCTGATTGATCATCTCCTTGTGTTGGCTTACTAATGTAAACACCAACAACTGGATTTTGGTATAAGTTTAAATTGTTACAAAATTGTTTATTTTAGAGTGCCTAAAGTTTTGATAAGTGCTTAAAAAAACAAAACAAAAAACCATGTTTCCCACTCTTACCTGATATCTTATGGAACTGTGCTGCATAGATAATTATTTCCAAACCAGATTTTCATAAGTCAGTTCATCAAACCAAATACTGCAAAAGCTACTTAAACTTTTTTTTAATCATATTACCAGACCTATATATCTTTAAAAGAAATGCAATGTCAAAGGATACTTAAAAATTGTGTCCTCTAGTTTTACATATTTTTAGTATGGAGCTAATAATTTTGACTCTTAAAATAATAATTGTTTATAAATATACATACGTTTTTTCCTGTGCTCAACCAGGCCAATGGCCTGCTTAGCTGAGCATTTGGAAAACCAGTTGTCCCCAAGCAGAACAGTGACCTCATTGGTATGGACAAGTTTTCCTGGCATGAAGGCAAGGGGACCAAAAGGTACCTGTCAAAGTCAGAAAGCAAACAGCTAAAAACCACTATTAAAAATTAAATTAGAGGTCATTAATGACCACTTAGCCAAACAAATAAATTAAAATTCAACCAGGGTTAGAAGGACTCAAAACTCTATAGCACAGTTATTTAATGACAAACACATGATAAACATTCAAACTACCAGATCTGAATCCCAACCACAGTTTGAATTTAATATTGTACTTGTAATAAACAGAACAGGTTAATATTTAACCGGAAAACCGTTCTGAGGCATAAAACTTAAGTACTAATGGATGCAGACAGGAAAACAAAAAAGTCATACTATATTACTACTTAGGTTTTTAAAATAAAAATATTGTATCTCGTTTAGATGATTGTAAACTATTTATTATACATAAATGTTTTCACTTCCCAGTTAAGTATAACATTGCTCAGATTTATAACAAAAATATTATTTAAAGGAACAGTCAACTCAATTATCAATTGTTTTATTTAGTTGTGTTACTAGCACCTATTTAGGAACCCCAATTTTTCCCCAAATCAAATTTGTCTCCAGCCTAAGATTGTTGCTACCTGCCAATACTCCTGTAGAGTAGGAGAGTTTGTTTACTAATCCACACACTTCCTGTTCTCATTCACCACCATGAGGGTACATCATCCTCAGTCAATGTTCTGAAAGCCATATATGTCTTCCTCCAATAACTCATAGGAACGGCAAGCAATAAATTGTTTAAAATCTGAGTATTGGCAATAAGAGTAAATAATTAGTGGTAAATAAATTATATTGCTTAAGACACGTTTCTTAAAAGTGTTTATCCCGTTTTCTTAAAGTTTACAGTAGACATGTCACTATGTTTATGATCCTTCCACTCACCCCACAGACCAGATCACTTTACACACAAGCCACAGGCAGACCCCACACCACTCACTTCAGCTAGGCCCATTCAGGCCTTATGAGCACTAGACCCTCCCCCACACTAACCCTATCCCTGATGTACTAGTTGCCCACCCACTAGCCTCATCTCCCATATCTGGTTCTCATTCAGGCTTCAACTTCAAAGGGGGACGGTTGCACGTGTTAGCCATCAGCTGTGATCCAGCTGAAGAGAAGCGGAAGGGGAAACAAGTCCAGCAGCTACTGCCTAGCTCAGCTTGTAGTCAAGTAACTCTCCACCACAGGAGAAAGCGTTGTCACCCTGCAACCTTGGACCAGCTCTTCCTCACTTCAGAGACACTTCCTGGATCAATGTCTTCCCTCACTTCTTGAGGGCAGGAACAGCACCCCTTAATCCCTCATATTCTAGTGCAGGGCATCTGGACCATATATTCTCTCCCTCTCATGGCAGATCCTCTTCTCCAGAAGGAAAAGCCAGTAGGTGGCAATGCCATATTGGAGAGTGGGGGTTAGGAGGGGTGGGAGACCATCTTGAGGAAAGATTCTGTGGAGGATACTCCTCTTAAAAGATGTACTCTCCCAGGCTGAAATTACAAAGGCCTTCAAAACAACAGCTTGCAACACTTACACACACCCAAAAGCAGCATTGTGTATAAAATTAAAAATATAGGCAGATAGCTGGCTACGGGACAGGGATTGTTAATATACATTTAAAATTGCAAATATGAGTTGACACTGTCACTTTAAAACAAAAACTACATCCAGATGAGTCTGGTGGTTTTTGCAGTGTTTTGCATACCCATTTTGCTCTCAAGTATAAGATAACAGCAAACTCTCCACATTTTGTGTGTGTGTGTGCATGTGCATGTATATACACACATATACACACATATATATATACACACACACACACCCCTTCCCAGTAAAGTTAATGCTGTGGATAGGTACTGAACTGGTAACACCAGTCTTTTCTTTATCCACAAAACAGGCAGTATACGCCTGTTCTACCAAGGTAGCTCATCAATGCCCTACAGTTCCCAAAACCTGTGTGAAAACAGAGTTCAGCATTCATGCTCACTTTAGCCTTTGACCTCCCTTGTTGAGAATGACAACCTGAATGCCAGTGAGCAGCAAGTGAGATGTATCTAGAAGTGGACTGAAACTATCTGTTTGTTTCATATTCTGATATGTCACCTAACCAGCAGATGGTTACTAATTTTATTTAGTAGTTCTGAAGTGATGCCTAAGAGATAAATGATTCTGTATCCCATTACCAATTCACTGAGCAATGCAGTCCCTTTCGAAGTGTATTCTGAATTAGGCAAAAAATAGCCTCAAACAAGGAAATAGTAACTTTGTAAAGTCAGGAACTTGAATTCTGGTGGATGTTCAAGGCTAAAGTACTTTTGATAGGAATGACTCAAAACACAAGAACTCACTATATGAATGTGAAGATCATTAAAACAAAAATTAGCACCACCTTTTTATATAAAAATCAATGTTGCAGAGTTTAATTCCGTGAATCAGGAAATATTATGGCCTGTTTCTTCTATGGCTAACAGGAAACGACTAAGTACCATATTTCAGTCATAATTACAGTTTTTGGTATAATAGATTTGCATACCAAATATGTAATATTTTGTGTTAACATTTATGTCATCAGTTCTCAATTGTCAGTAACATTATAATTTATTATGGATTTGAAAAAAGAGAGAGAGAAAAAGAAGCAAAGGTTTAACTATTACTATAATTAATATATCATTACTAAGTACTATATGGTAAACCTGAATAACATACCTCACTGCCAGTGCAGTAACCTCAGATACTAAAACCATTAGTCAATTATTTTGAATAAACTATACTGTACATACCATGATATCATAAGACAGTTTATCAGGCAACGTATTGAGACGTTCTTGAAGAGCCTCATAATCATTCTCCACCTTCCTCCTGTTGACAAATTCAAGTGAGTTTAATTATTTCTAAATGTAAAATAGTTAAGTTAATGGTTTTCTGCTGATGCATTTTCAGTGCTCCATGGAAAGATATGGGAGGGAGAACTGTTTTTATTCATAAATGTATACATTTTATATCATGGAAGATTAATTTTTTTTACTTTAACATTTTTAACAATTTATTTAAAAACTCTTGTGATGGCCCAGTTATAGACATCATTCATCTTTTTGAATTGCAAGTTCCTTGGGGAAAAAATAGTGCTTTCCTCTGTATTTTGTAGGTCTCACAGCACACTGCATGGGTTCAACAATTAAATCACCATCATAGTTTAGAAGACAAATTGGAATTCCAGCTTATATTTTAGAAGAGGCAGAATCTTCAAAACCTTATTTGCAATGAACAATCAGTGTGGGCTTTAAAAAAGGGGGCAATACTCTTTAAAGTTAAATCTGATTTTTAGCTGAATTTTCTCTCCCGATGGACAGTCAACATTCCTGAAAGATGATGATTTGACCATAGGGTTATTGTAGCTTCTTGACCTATCAACAAGGAGTGTAGATGTGAAACACTACTCTAGTTCTCCTGACCAAGAAAAAATTACTAATGCTCAATTGTTGAATGTTTACATATTGCTCTACTCTTCTTTTGGGCATTTTAGAACATTCTGCATAGAAATTTTCTTTCCCATAGAACGTATTCCTCAGAATTTTTGTACACGACTTTTCCCGTCAACTTGGATGAGCATTTTCAATACCTATTTCTACTACATAGCAACTCATGAACAAATTTGTGATCTTGCAAGTGTCTTGAATAGGACAACAAACTCCCCATCTTAAACAACAAGGATGTTTATGGGCAAGTGCAGTAAGAAAGTCAGTGGCAGAAGGGATCTCAGTAATTTACATTGCAAAGCAGGATAATTTCAAACATACGCCCCCAAAATATATGTTTCCTACTCATGAGCAGCATATCCAATAGCACCTATCAAGATTGAGTTCACACAACCATGCACCAGCAGAAAAAGAGATACAGAAAAACATTCCCATAAACTTAAAAGCTGTAAGCCAAAGTGATTCAATTAACAGTAGTCTTTTGGCCATGAGAATTCCGACCCTGCATGCTCTGGAGCTCTGGCCACGCTGGTACTTTCTGCAGCAACCTGGGCAGCTGGTGGCATAGCACAGTAGGGTAGCAGGCAGTAGATCAGGCATGACACGGATCCACATGCAGAAGGTCCCCATAGGGGGTGTGCAAGGGCCCCAGCTGTTACTACTACCCTTACTTGTGATAATGAATGGTTGATAGCTGCTCTGCACCAAGTTTCCAAATTGTTCAGGTTGGTTCCTTCCACCAATTTGTCAGATTTCCATCACAAAATCAATTTACTTAGGATAGGCCAGTGAGGTGCGGAAGTGGTATTTGGTCCATTTCAAGAAAGGTCACTGAGACAAAGTTGGGAAAGGGGCCAAAGAAATTAGAAATGTCTTGGTGAATCTGGCCAAACAATCCCAATAGTGTATACTGTGAAAAGATAAGGAACTCTGAGTTTGGGAGAAACAGTTACCTAAGGAATTTTGTCTTGTTTGCTAGCAGTAAAAATACAAACAAACAAAAAGAAACCAGTCCTCTTCTGAAAGAATATTGAAACTGGTGTGCTGGAAAAAAGATTTTTTTTAAAGTAAATTATCAGCTAACACGTGCATTGCATTATCAGGCATATACATTTGAGGGTAGAGGATATTCTCCACTTCTGCCCCAATACAGCACCTCATGTAATCTTTGTACAGGGTGAACCTCTCTAATCCGGCACTCCCTGGTCCAGCAACATCCATGGTTCAGCATAGGTGCCGACTCCATAGGTACTCTGGGGCTGGAGCACACACAGGGAAAAATTAGTGGGTGCGGAGCATCCACCGGCACCAAGCTCTCCTAGCTGCCCTCCTCCCCTGCGCCTCTTGTGCACCAGCAGCCCCACGCTTACCAACACTTCCTCCTCCGTCCCAGCGCTTCTGGAGCACCACGAACACCTGATTTGCGGCGTTCAAACTGCAGGAAGGAGGGGGAGGAACTGGGGCTGGCGGCTGGGACCTGGGGCTGGCATCGGAACCTCCGGGCAGGCTGCAGCACCCCCAGCAACCCTACTTCCTGCATCTATGGAGATCCACTGGCACTCTGCATTGACCTCCCGTGGTTTGGCAAATTCTCTGGAGTACTGGTCAGGTCCCGAGGGTGCCAAACTAGAGAGGTTCAACCTGTATTTAATCTTGGGATGGAAGCCAGCATCGTGGATATGAACTGAAAATGCTGACCAAAAGATGCAAATTCTGATGGTTTTCTGAGGATGTTCAAGTAGGCATCCTGTACATTTGTTTACTAGAAGTAGATATCTAGCTTAACCAGGTGGATGAAGAAACTGCAATATGAACATCTTAAAAAAACAACAGCCAACTATTACTGACTTTCTTCAATTCCCAAATAAAGTAGAATCTCTGATCATTTTGGGACCATGAAAAAAGTTGCAATAATCCCACAATTTTTTGTCTCATTTAATTTCTGGAAGATTACTGTTACAGTGGTCACTAGTAGAAACACCCAACTTTATCACCCTGCAGTATTCAAGAACTCAACAAGGTATCTGCAGTACTTTGTATTTTCAAAGTACATGTCTAAGATGCTGAATTGTGTCCCATGGACTTAGGCTCCAAAGTCACTTAGACACTTTTGAAAAATTTACCCCCTGTGATTAAAGCACAAAATAACGTTTGAAGACTTGGGTCCTACTCAAGTTCTGCTGCACACTTCCTGACACACTCAGACAAGCCCCCTTGCACTTTAGTTTCTTCACCTGTAAAATGAGGATAATATTCACCTTCTCCACGGGGCTGTTGTAAGGTAAATTCATTAACATTTATGAAGTACAGTGAGAGTCTTGGAAGAGAAGCAATATGATGAAAACTTATTGTTAATAGAAGAAGAAAAAAGTCTTAAGCTCCATTCTCTGTCCCCAACGATATTCCTATTTTTATGGAAAATTGGCAACGATGTAGTCATACCAAATTTATATCCCCCAAACAAATGGGAACAATTTGTTTCAGCTTGCTACTATGAGAAGAAAATCTAGTTGGAGGTGTGGGGGATGGAGGTCAAGGGAAAACAGATCAATTCATTCTTCTAAATAGGTTTTTTGGAACAGGAATCCTTAAGACACATCGCTGAAGATCTGCCATCTTTCTAGCAGTTTTGGTCCCCTGAATTAGAGCCAGAAGTTTTTACTTTCCTTCTTTTTTTATATAACCATCTAATTAGGAATCTGGAAATGAAGGCTCGATAAAGATCTTTAACATTGCACCATTTCCAGCTTTTTGTTAAAGGGACTCTACAGTTACTAGTGGTCATCTCAGTTGGAGTTTGAAAGCTTAATACGTTTATCTTGATGCAACCTTGTATGTTTTGATATCTGATTAAATATTTGAAAACTTTTCCCACAGATGATCAACTGGATATGTAGTGTGAGGTCAACACTTGCTGTTGAAGGACTGGCCAAAAGGGCGACAAGCTTTAAGACTGAGTGCTAACATGTAACAGAAGAACTTTTAAGTATTTTTGTGTGGTTTAGGAAAAACATCAAGATATAGACTCTTCAAAACCCATCACCACAAATCTCACCTTGCTTATGATATGAAGACAATTCATATTCTAAAGTAAGAAAAACTTAATTAAAGATGCACAAAAACAAAAGCAATCAAAACCTTTTTGCTGGATTTGAAATACAAAGAGGGAAATCCCTAGTAAAACAAGAATGCAAAAAATGATAATTTCAGCGCTAAACATCTCCTAGATTTGACAGCCAGGATAAGCAATTTCTCCATTTATCTGAAAAGAAGGTGGTGTCCTTTAGGATTAGGCAGTTGTCCACTACTGAATAACCAGATAAAAGTGCTGCAGGAACTGCTCTGCATCGAAGGCAGAAGGATTCTACTGCATTGCACATATTCTATATTAGTGAGCCTTGGAAACTGATTTCTTGATGTGGTTGCCTACCATTATGTAGGAGAAAGTTCAATGGAAAGAGTATTGGGGAATGACTAAAAGATGCATCTTTGTTTTTCAGTGGATCTTACTGGTCATACTCTACTCTGGAAGTCTCTGAAAATGCAGCAATGCTCTAAAAAGGTATAACAGAACCAAGAAAATAAAAATAAATCTATTTATTGAATTGGCCTGAAACAGTATTATGTAGGAAGTTTTTCCTCTCTCCCCATCTAATGACACATGATCATGTGAACTCATGGGTCTACTGGTTGCATAGACAATTAAGAAATTAAAACCAACAGTGTTATACTTTCAGGCAGAATAAATATTTATTTAGGAATGAGATTCAACTTATGAAGTGCCTCTATAAATGGAAATGCTTTAGCTGACCCCATGCTTTACTCATTATTTTAGCAGTTATTTATGTCTCTGAATCTATACTTTTAAAATAAGTTAATTATATTAAAAAGAAAAAAAATGAATTTTTAATGGAAACTTATTAAAGTGGAGTATTTTAAAACTGTGCTGTTATTCATCCAATTCTATTTAACATCTATCTGTGTCATTGGCTATTTAAAGATTCTCATAAGAGGATATTATTCAGCTGAAACACATAGGCACTCAGCTCTTGCACCATGTGGCCCCAAATGTTAATACATTTTCTTTAAACAAAAATTGTGTACATTCTGTAAACTGCTTTTCAATATAAAATACATCAGCCAATTTCAAATCCTTCTCTCCTACTCTCTATAAAAAACATCCAAAAATTAGATATGAACTAAGGGTTCGTTTAAAAAACAAACAAACCATACCCTGCCAAAAAAACAAACCACCAACAAAAATATTCCAGACATTCTCAAAGAAGCAAAACAAACTTTGTAAACTTTTCATTTTGTAAAAATTTAAAAAGTTAGACTTTTGGTCAACATTTTTTGGGAAAGAAGACTCCCAGAATGAGAATTTATATCCTGGACTAAATTGGTATGGTAAGTTATAAACTCCTGAAAAGTGTATTATGGAAATGCTGACAGATTTAACTACAACAGCAACAGTGGCACCACTATGATACTTTCCTTATTGAAAATTAATGCAGTCTCTGAATTTTAAACATAAGTGAAACATATTACTTGTAGATTATTTTCTGCAAGCCAACAGTCAGAATTTAATATGATGATGTGTACAGATTGCCCTGATTTTTTTTAACTCTTATCCACTGCTTGCAGCTTACACGCATTTTAACTAAAAACATTTGATACACACTAACTATAAATTATTTGCTTGGAGATCTCTCAGGCATGAAGAAAAAGCCTCTTAAAATAAATTTAAAATATTATATGCTTGATGGTGTATAACCAAAGGTTTAATCTCACCACTAAAGGGGCAGTTGCTGTGATTTTGCAATAACCCTGCAGACAATAATCAAGACAGCTCCTGTTGTTCTCTCAGTAAAATCATGGTAAACACAGCATGGATATATTGTAATTTGATATATGTAAGATCAAATGTTATATCTCACAAGATTTCATTCACCATTAAATGTACATTTTCCTCAAATGCCATATGAAACTGCTATTTACTGGGCATGTTTTCTACTAATTATGGATTACCACATTAAAACAGCAGCGCATATATATATAAGTGCCCAGAGATAATGCTTCAAGGGACACTTTTTTCCTAAACATTACATATTAAGGCTTACCAAACAGTTTACTGTAAAAATATTGAAATGTTATATTTTCACTATATATGCATAAAATTACTTAAAATAAGCATTTGCTCTTTCCTGTAGTAGTAGTAGTAATAAATAATAATAATAAATAAAAAACAAAAAACACCCAGGAATAACTTCCAAATTGCTGACACCTTTTTATCCAGTCAGGCAGATTCAGTATTCTTTATACAAGATTATTTGTGCAAAAAATGGCAAGGGGAAAGAGGGTATAAAAGAAGCATACACATTAAGGTTCAAATATATGTGTGTGTTAGAGCAGTGATATCACAGGAAAGAAAATACAAATTTTAAAGAGGGCACAGTGCAATAAGTCAGAGATACCTCAAACTATACACCTAAAGTATAATAGTAGAATTTGACTAACATTGTTATAAATACTATAATTGCTTGGTACTTTACTAAACAAGTAGGTTACTTCATCAGTATTTTAAGCATGTAATCAAACATGTTTCACTTACCAGTGCTGGATTTTTTCTTGGCAGCTAGTGACCACCTGTCATTAAAACAGATAACTGCTCATGAAAAAACAAGGCTAAGCACACAGCTGCAATGTCAATGTATCAGAAACTAGAACAATAGCTTTACAGATTTGGTAGCTTCTCTATATACATTTTTATTTGTCAATGCAAAGGCATGTGAATGTTAGTTCTTAAGCAGCACACTTTATCACAACACTAATGCAGACTGATAACTGGAGAACAAATTACAGCTTTCCAATTCATATTTTGGTACAATACCTGCTCCATAACTATTAGGTGACACATGATACAAGATTACTAGTATTTTGTACAATCTACAGATCTATTTTCAATGTTACATGTTTTGTAGAATAAGAAACCAATATAAATTATAACAAGATGCCAATGTAACATCCGTGCCTGTTCAGTTAAAAGAAAAACCAGCCCTGAAAATGTTTTACTTTATCAGTACACCTACAAGCGTTTTCACCTATAGTTTTATTCTAAAACAGTACAAATTAATTTTGCAGTGTTTAAATGCAAAAATAATACCTCTATTATATATAGATTTTAAGTGAAACAGTTATGAGCTGAATAGCCCACTTATTTCTTCAAAATATAGGCTTCCCATAGAGACTGAAAATTAACCAGTTTGGAATATTTTTAAGACTGCATACTTTAAAATATTAAGTTTGGGAGGGTACCTCAGTTTAGTAATACTAGACACTATCACATACAGACAAGATGCTGGTCTGCTGTACCACAATTGCATGGACATTTTGTTTAAATACATACAGAACTCTCAATAACACATATTGAAAAGTATAACAAAGACAATTTCACTCAATTACATGAAATGCAAAGAAGCTATGAGGCAATTAAATATGTCTAGACATCTCCTCAATATAACATTTTTCAGATATTTTTGCAAATATTTGTTTCTCACATGGCCACAAGAATGCTAACATCTGAAAGCAATTAATAGGAAAATATGCCTGAAAAGTAACAGAATAGGACTCTTTTTAGAGCTAAAAATTATTCAAATGTGTAAGGGTTGAAGGATCAGTCCCACATTTGTGGTCTCACTACCATCATAATAATCCTACACGTTGGGACAAATTCAGCCATCCAGTTGGTTGCGCTTACACCAAGGTTAAATGTCCTTTGCCATTGAAGACTTGTAATTTTAAATCCTACGTTTAATTTCTATAAAATAATCTCACCTAATGTATTTGCTAATTTAAAAAAAAATGCTAGGCACAAAGAGGAAGATTTCTAGAAGATATACATTCAGAAAACTATACTATTAATGCTTCATACACAAATCTATTTTAAAATAAAGCTTCCCTAGTATGTCACATACAGTAGCAACATTTCATAATAGTAGTAGTACACAACAGAGTACTGCTTTTACAAGTAGAAGAATCAGAGAATATTATATCAACATATTTCACTGTTTCAGATTTGAAAGATTGCAAAGTACACAACATAATTAAGTGCACAAAAATTGTTTACGAAATCCTTTAAGAAAGTTCCAGCTTAATTGCCCCATTAAAGATGAAGCTACAAAAAAAGAAAAGACAGGAAGCTTTCCATTCCCAATACATGACTTTCCATGCATGAAGTGAGCTAAAAGCACAAAAAGAAAAGCCCTGCAAACCATAAGAGCAGCATGTTCATTAACCTCTACATGATAATCCTTTCATAGCTGCATATTAACTAGTTACATATTCATAATCATTTTACATTATTTAGAGAACCTTCTATGAAAATTTCCAGGCTATATCCATTAGCTACAATGTTAAAGGTTACAGAAGATAGTCTACTTAATGTTTCCAGGAAGCTTTTTTAATTAGCAAATATGTAAATCGGGCACATATGCTTTTTATATTTAAAAAAATGGGCCATCAGTAAAAGAGCACATGGACATATGCTGTTTCCATGACCCCCTTAAAAAAATCAATAACACCAATCAATTATAATTTCATTCTTTGATATAATCCCTCATGAAGGGATACTGAAGGATAGAACCAATAACAAACCTTTCAGTGGCCAGGATGAAGTGAGGGATCTTTCAGAAGTGCTACAATACACCATCTTAAATATATTTTTATTTGTAATACTAATATAGTAGGCTGAAGCACCTACTATACTAATGAGACAGTATTTTAAAAAATACAGTCAGAGATCAATTACACATTACCTACATGTCCTTTGCTGAGACACTCAAATTGTTTTGATAACCGTTGGTAATACAGCAGCAAAGAAACAAGTAGAGAAAAAATATATATACAGGTCTTTAGATTCTATGCTGTGCTCTACTGTGCTAAGAACAGCGTATATCAAGATCCACAATTTTTATGCAGCTACTGCCAGGCTAAATAAAAATAATCAACAAATGGGCAGGTGAGTTAAAGTTCATTTTGTTTGGACAACTAACACTACCAATACTGCTTTACTTTTAAGAAACTGTAGCGTAAGGGATACCAATAAATCCTGACTTATTTCCCCTCCAGGGATAACAATGTATGCATTTGCAAATTTATGAGGTTATCAATGGTTTATTTGCATACTAAAATATTTAAAGTGTAGAGGGTTATTAAACTACACTTGCAGCAAACTTAACATTACCTAATCAAGTGTTCAGTTATTAAAACAGGATCTACTTGTGGAAAATACATTTCACGGTTTAAATGAAAAGGGAACAGACAAGTATCTTGTTTCCTCCCTCACCCCCAACAATGATTTGTTGCAATTTAATATTTCTCAAGATCCTGATTCAATAACTGTGTATTTGATTTCAGAAATGCTTGATGCTTTTCAGTTGGATCACAAAGTGTGCCACCTGCTTGAAGAGCTTCTGCACTGTTATTTATTTCACTTACTGCTATTTATTTTGTGGGTAGCCACAAGGGGGCATCATACTGCGAGTCTCCCTCATGTACAACAGACACTAAAACAGAGAAGCACAGCTTTTAAATGAGTCTTATTTTGCATATCTTCAAATTGTCCTCCCCTGAGTTTCAATTCCTTCTTGATTAAGAACCAAACTTTAAAAATGGAATAATAAATGTTGGATCTGATTTTTATTATTTTGAACTATTTAAACGGAAAGTTTACATTAATGCTGTTTAAGAATCTATTTTAAGTTTAAACCCTTTTTCCTAAATTTGACAACTGCAAGGCCTGATTTCTACATCACAGTTGAAAGATGAACTGAGAGGTGGATATTGTACAAAGGAGCGACAGTGGCTATTGTAATTAAAGTAGCAGATTTTCTTTTGTCGCATAAATGTAGCTAATCTTACCAATATATATTTATACAATACTCTTTATTTTTAGTATGTACTAAATGCTAACACAAAAGTGGCTAAAAATAAATGGATTAGATTTTTATAATTATGTTCACTTTCTAAGCATCCTGCAGTCCCAATGCTAGCACAATGCAGCTTGCAGGCTATTGAGACAAGAGGATACAAAGGTTACCCGTGTTCCACAGCAGAAGATGCTGTTGCTGTCCTAAAGGGGAAAATTCCCTTCTCCTGCAGCCACATTAAGCCCATTTCCCACACTGTCCAGCCAACCAATCATTATTTTCTCTTTTCTCCTCTCATGCATCTTCCATCTGAGGACTCAACATCCTTTATGAACATTGACTCACTACACCCTTTCTGAAGAGGTATTATCCTTATTTTACTGGGGTACTGAGTGACTTAACTGAAATTACACATCAGTCAGTGGCAGAGCCAGGAGTAGAAGCCAGATCTCCTGACTCACAGTCATGGGATATAATCACTAAATACAACACTCCCTCACAATATGCTTCTTAGGAATTAAGATGGGGTTGAATGGACAGTAGGACAGAACAGAAAATTGCAAAAAATTCTGATCCCGTAACATGGAAACAGGTTCTTACCTGTGCATGTATGTCATGTCACACCAGCTCCCCATTCCTGTATGTGCTTCCCTTGAACTCAAAAGATCTAATCCAGTCTCTGACACTGAATGCTTGTTTGGCCTTGGGTAAATCATCTCTCAGTCTACGGGTTTGTCTACATTGCTCAGTTGTCGCCAAAACCTTTGTCTTTCATGGGTACTTTAAAAAGCCCCCCCACGAAAGACAAAAGTTTTGCCGAAGCAAGCGGCAGTGTGAACGCGGCTTTGTCGGCAGGAGCGCTCTCTTGCCAACAAAGCTTATGCCATTTGCGAGGCTGGAAGCGCCGACAAAAGTGCCGACAAAATACCGCAAAAGAACGTTCACACACGCTGACTTTTAGCGACAAGGCTGTGTTGACACAGCCTTGTCACTAAAAGCTGGGTGGTGTAGACAAGCCCTAAATTTCTTCATCTGTAAAATGGGGATAAGTAGTACTAATTTACCTACCTCACAGGAGTGCTATGCTGATTAATTAGCTAATGCCTGAGAAGCACTTTGAAGATGTAAAGCACTGTATAAGTGCTAAGTAGAATTATTTACCACTTGAAAAGTAATCTGAATATGATCAGATATGTAAGCAATTTGTGTACATGCTGTAATAAAATAATTTGTGACAGTTTAATCTTGAATTAGTCTCACTTTAAACATTTTCTTTCAATCACGTTACTTAAGGAAAACTGAGAGTATAGAATACTTTTTGTGAAAGTGAAGGGAAGTAATGAGGTGTTAAAGTAATAGTCTAATAAATCTAAAACCAGTGTTTTACCTTTAGGAATTTGGCCTTGCCATCTGAGATTTTGCAAAGAACTCTGTCTTGACCTTGGTTCTGTGGTTCAGGCCCTCCCATGAGCAGATTACCATAATCAAACTGTATAATGTTCTTTGCGATACAGCTCTATGTTTATTAGGGTCCTGGATAAAATCAAACTCATTTTTACTCCTGACCTAATTAGGATGATTCCAAATTTTCAGAGTTTAATTGTTTAACTTTATGTATGTGAATATTAACTTCAATGGGACTACTCATGTGAATTAAGTTATCCACATGCGTGATTGTTTCCAGGATCGAGACTCATTGTGCCAGGTAGCCCATATGTG